TTGCAGCGCAGAAGTGGTTCCAATAATGGCGACGGCTAATGTAAAACCGTTCCAGAGAATAAATTCCAGGATCGACTGGAATTATTCGGGAAATTCCAACTGAGATAGACTCTACTTTCGTTTTACTACTTTTAAATTTATAGACATTTTTACCGTGTTTTTACGAGATCCATGGGGCGATTTTAGATTTAAGAGCTTTCGTTATGAGATGCGTGTATGAATTTACGATTATAGTCCAAACTAGCTTTCCGCCCGCGGCTTCGCCCGCGTGTAATTTTGTCTGTCACAGAAAAACTTTATCGCGCGCGTCCCTGTTTCAAAAACCGGGATAAAAACTATCCTATGTTCTTTCCCGGGACTCAAACTATCTCTATGCCAAATTTCATCAAAATCGGTTGCGAGGTTTAAGCGGGAAAGCGTAACAGACAGACAGACAGACAGACAGACAGAGTTACTTTCGCATTTATAATATTAGTTGGGATTGCAAGGCAATAAGGTAGCTAAAATAAAAATATGCTTCGTAAATTCAATCCATCAATGTTTTTCCTTCTTAGATTTACCGACCTTGTTCAGCAAAATGAAATCTATTTCTTCTGTAGAAAGGCAGGAAAAAAACTAATGACTACTTGAGTACATCTGTACAAATAATTGCTAGTATTTTTAAAGGAGAGTTCTTCGTTCGAGCGCTTTTATGCTCTGAGTACTTTTAGATAACCGAAAAGTATATTGAACGAACACTTAAGGCTATACAAATACAGACATGTTAGTAACAGCTTATAATAAACACAATCTTACATTAATGGTAGTTACTTTAGTTTCTTTTAGTCGTATGTCTTTTTTCGTGACGTGGCTTGTGATCTGTGGCATAATCTGAAACGTCTTTGCTACGTGGCATGACCAAAAATATTTATTTGCGATAGTCACTATCATACTTTTTCTGTTATTTCTAAATGACTTTTTGACATGCTGAGTACTTTGTGGTACCTAATTAGCGTCGCGCGTCGCGAACACAATAATACGTGTGACCTGAGAGTTAATTTACTCGAGATATCACACTTTAAAAGTTGTAATGTGCATGTACAAACACGAGTAAAGTTCACTTGCCTTCGCGAAATGCAAGAACTATACAACTACATAGATATAATTGTACCTACGTAACTTGAAATACCTTCGACCATACATTCCCTTTGTACCCATCAAAATACGTTGGATTATATTCGAAGCGTAAATATTGGATTTGAAATAAAGAATACGACACAAAACGGAAAAACCTTGAGACGGATCTCATGTATCGGTGTTTCAAATTACAGTCAACGCCTTCAGCCTATCTTAAGACGGAATACGGGGGAAATACGGCGTTTTTTAGGGTTCCGTAGTCCTGACAAGGAACCCTTGTAATTTCGATATGTCTGTCTGTCCGAGGTTTTGCTTGGAAACTATCGCCACTAGAGAGCTGTAATTTTGTGGAGGTATGTATATTGATCACGCCAACAAAACGGTAAAATATTTTTTTTAGGGTAGCTCCCCTACATGTAAAGTGGGGATGAATTTTTTTTCATCTTCTACCCCATCGTGTGGTGTATCGTTGGATAGGTCTTTTAAAATGGCTTAGGGGTTTTTAAGACTCTTTTACCATTTAGGGATCTGTGTGCTTACCATGAGTTTCCGTTACGTGTGCTCGCTAGCGACTGCGTAAAAAAATGACATTAATTGTATGACATATTGTGCAGCGCCCCTAGCGGCTACTTTCAAGAAACAAAATCTCCATAGAGATTTTTGACGTTTTCGCTAGCGAGCACACCTAACGTAAACTCATGGTAGGTACACTGTTTGCAGATTATTAAAGTTTTAAAGTACCAATTTTTGTTCGAGTAGGGCGTCACCCCTCTAAAAACTAAACTGTTGTTGGCTTGAAAAATCTAGAAAAAATCGCAATTATACTGCTTTTCATGAACTTTCAAGGAAAACTATAACGGTTAAGATATATTAGTCAGTATAGAAGTAATAGTCATTTCACTCATGTATTATAAAATTTCTTAACTAGTGAAAATTCCTAGAAGAAAATATTAAAAGTGACTTTAAATGAAGTAATTGCTGTTTCTGAAATATATTGTGTTAAAGACGGACAACTACGGAATCCTAAACTGAGCGTGGCACCACACTTTTTTCTACCTACGTCTGAACATGCTCATTATTGAAAATTATCTGGATATTGTACTTAAGACTTTCCAACTCGTATTCGGGGCCGTAACGAAGATATAGCGATGACAATTACGTCGTCAACATTTCTTTTGATAAAATACTTTTACACATACTTCTTTGGTTAAGGTTGGTTTAACCTTTATCAAAGTAAGATAAAATATATGTCTTCGTTAATAAAGGATACAAATCATAAAACATCATTGTGGTGGATCTCTCATCATCTTAACAGCCATTGTCATCACATTATGGGACCTACGGTACGAGTAAGCTTTATTGAAAAACATGTTTACTGCTTGCTCATTTACCTTTCCTTGTTTTGTTTACCTACGTATTGGTTGATGATTTACCTCTTATGATTATTATTCTCGAACGCGAACAATAGTATTAATAATAGCACTGTTGCCTTACAATTGTAGCTATATTTTGATTAACCTGCCACAATTTAGTAGAACTAAAATGAATAGAATACACACAATAAACCTATAAAAACTTGACACAGAGTCTATAACATTAAATCTCGTAATTTACCCTTTACAGCCATTATGACGTCATGACTGAAAATTGGACCACGCTTACACGTGATTGGTTCCGAGTTGCCGAGCGAGTAAACTAGAATAATAAGGCTATGTTCTGATGACAAAATTTTAACGCGCGTTTTCTAATCGCGCGACCTGACATCGTAGTATTTACATACAACCGATCACATATCATGAGCGTGCGTTAACGCACGTCAACGAGCGCTGACGCGGCGCTCAGAGAAAAAGTCTAGACGCAGGCGATTCACATACATACTTAGCTGTCCCAGCGCGTGTCAACGCGAGAGCTAAGTATGTAACGTCCATTGACTGTTCAGATGAGCGCGCACATCCATCGTAATAGCTTCATCCACGTCCATTTTCTAAGCTCTATCGAAAAAGACTGACGATCTCCTCGCAAAGCGCGTTAGCGCTTGTCATATGAACTTTTTATAAATTAAATTCCGCGTTGACCTGCGTTAACGCGCGTTACATGTGAACATAGCCTAATGCGCTAATCTGGGAGGTCACTACTGGGTTAAATTTTAGCGGAACAATGACAATAGAGTTAGGTTTGACATATCTTGACAGGTTCTTAAGTCCCAATTGGCACAATTCCGGAGGGACTCAATTGTGATGTAGTGGGTGCCTCAAGGCTATCCGACCGACACGCTTTGACACTTATAATGCGAGATTAATTTATAGTGATAAAACATTTGCGTTATAAGGAACTTCCATCCATTAAAAATTATTTGGATAATTTACTTGGAGAAAAGTATTTTCTTAAAAGTAAATAGTTACCTATAATATTAGAATTAGGTACTATACACTAAAGCCAAGACTTGACTTCTTTTACCTCAATTTTCAGACATTCTGTCTGTCTGAATCAATCACAGTTGAGGTACTAAATCAATCGCATACCTGACTATAATGAGGCGAAACACTTATTCAATTTTATTTGTAAATGAACCCTCTAGCATCTTCATCGTTACTTAACGAAAGGTTTTTATTTCAAACCTTCTCCTTACTAAATTATTAATGGCCGAATTTTCCATCTCCATATAACTTTAAGGGTAACTAAAAAGGTTCAGACGATTGAAACAATATAATATAGACTAAAAGCACATGTAGATAAATTATTACAATCACAGATAAAGTGGGAGCACCCACGCAATCTTAAGGGTGACTTTTATCATTCGATTGGAATCGAAATAAAATACTGTTTCAAAGAAGTAGAGCAACTTTGGTAATACATGAGATTTATTTTCATAGAGAGCAAACAAACAGTAACTTATAATAAACTAACCTTTTGATAAAAATCAAATCAGTCTGAGAACTGTTCTAATAACCAAAGAAAGTAAGTATTGTGTCTTTTTTCAACAAATTAATTAGCTTATAGACGCTCTTTCGGTCTGAAAAAACAACAATAGCTTTTAAATCTTTACTCGTTGAAAATAAAACCCAAGATTACGTGCATGCAAATAATATTTATCACCCACTGCACCATCGTAGATAAGTTTCACCAGGAAGAAAACTTCTGCAGCAGTTCCATGCGAGCCATGAATAAATGTAACTTCCTTACCTCTTGAAACTTGGGAAAATTTGTTTCCAACTTATTTCCTTCGTGTTATTATCCTGTCAAATACCTAGAAGAGCAACTTGCACTGACGATTTTTAGTGACACTAAACTCCAAAAGCTCCAATTGCTTTTTGTTCAAAATCTGACAAAAAAGCTGCAATAGGATCCGTTATATTAGTCTAACACTAACTAATAAACACCTTATGTAACTCGTACGTACATAATGGTTTGGCCAAAATTAAAACAACCTCCTCCTTTTGTTGAAGTCGGTTAAAAACTACAGAGTATTAAAAACAACGGCTCTTTAACACTATTGCATCTTGTACAAAACCCTATTCTGCAAAAAGATGTGTGTACCTAAACTACCTAAGCTTTAGTTATACCATAAAATCTAAAGCTTCAACCACACCAACGCGTGCAGATCGCCATCACTAAGGGTTCGGCCAAACCAACGCGATCACACCGCGATCAGCCGGCGTGCAGCGATGGCGACCAGACATAAATGCATTGATCGCCATCGCTGCACGCCGGTTCATCGCGTTGGTTTGGCCGAACCTTAACGCGATCATAGGCCAGGTCGCGTGACCTGTCATCGGTCGCGACCTGTCATTGGCCTATGATCGCGCCGGCAATCTGCACGCATTGGTGTGGTTGAAGCTTTAAAACAACATTCTTCTTTACTAACCTTCGTCTCTCTTCCACAGTGTCATCAGCCCAACGAGAGCTCGGCAAGGGTACGCCAACGAACGCGTCAGCCACAGCGTCCCCGGCCGGATCGGTCGAGAACGCGATACGGCCCGGCGCCGCCCCGGCGGACAGCCCGCGACCGACGCCCCGCACTGGCCCCTACTTTGACTTGATGGCGTCGAAAAATGTGACCGCTCTCCTTGGCAAGACTGCATATTTGAACTGCCGAGTCAAGAATTTAGGCAATAAAACGGTGAGTTTAAATAAATAAGTAGATGAGTAAGAGTCAGTAGACCAAGTGTCCTCGGCCGGATCGGTCGAGAACGCGATACGGCCCGGCGCCGCCCCGGCGGACGGCCCGCGACCAACGCCCCGCACTGGCCCCTACTTCGACTTGATGGCGTCGAAAAACGTGACTGCTCTCCTTGGCAAGACTGCGTATTTGAACTGCCGGGTCAAGAATTTAGGCAATAAAACGGTGAGTTTTTTTTTTTAATTTTGACCTAATAAGAAATTTAGTAGACCTTAGCTGTAAGAGCCAGTTGACGCTCAGCGCCAAATGCCTCGTACTGGCCCCTACTTCGACTTGATGGCGTCGAAAAACGTGACTGCTCTCCTCGGCAAGACTGCGTATCTGAACTGCCGGGTCAAGAATTTAGGCAATAAAACGGTGAGTTCTTTTTAGAAATTTTGACCTAATAAGAAATCTAGTAGAGCTTAGCTGTAAGAGCCAGTAGACGCTCAGCGCCCAACGCCCCGCACTGGCCCCTACTTCGACTTGATGGCGTCGAAAAATGTGACCGCTCTCCTTGGCAAGACTGCGTATTTGAACTGCCGGGTCAAGAATTTAGGCAATAAAACGGTGAGTTTAAATAGATAAGTAGATGAGTAAAAGTCAGTAGATCGTTAATGTCCCCGGCCGGATCGGTCGAGAACGCGATCCGGCCCGGCGCCTCCCCGGCGTACGGCCCGCGACCGACGCCCCGAAATTTAGTCCTAATAAGTAATCTAGTAGACCTTCAGCGTAAGTAAGAGTCAGTAGACGCTCAGCGCCCAACGCCCCGCACTGGCCCCTACCTCGACTTGAAGGCATCGAAAAACGTGACCGTTTTCCTTGCCAAGAATGAATTATTAAATTTTCAAAATTAAAGTACTATTTTATCGTAAAATTGGTTTCAAATATTTGTATTGCGTCAAACCAAAATGGAATTAAAAACTATTTATTACCTAATCTACTTAAAAGCAGATTAATGTGATTAATATAGCGCGTAATTCATGAAAAGATTAATTATACTCACTGTTCACAAAGGCGAAAGAATAATATCTTAGGCAGGCTGTTATATCACTCGTTTTCATTTTCCTAAGTGAAGTTTAAAATAACATTTTTTTGTCATTACTTAACAGTATTTGTCTACTCTATTTTTAACGCTAGGCTAAATTAGCTTGAAATTCTTCAACGTCAAACATATTTTTGAAAATGTGGATAAGTCTATTACATTACAACCGACGAAGTTGTAACTATTTCCTTCTCACAATATCCGTCGGTCGTTCATGTAAACGACATTGCAACCCACTTTGGATTTGATGGTATACTAAAACGAGCCAAATATAAACGCGTTCTTACATCCGAATTGCGAGAGTAAATGTCTTAACAGGCGTACCCGCTTCGCGAACGACGAAAAATCTTCCTCTCAACAAGATTACTTCAAGTTACGCCCGTGTGTGACTCAAGTCAAGAGCCAAATTAATTTACAGAGCTGTGTTAGTACCGCCCCAGCTCTGAAAGTAAGCACTCGCTTTCGTTATGCAAGTAAAGCTTCGTACACAACGCCTAACGAGTCCCCCTTACCGTAACACGTTGTCCAATTTACATAGGAGTGTGCGTTGCGCCGCAACTCCACGCTTAAAATGAAACGTAACAATAGCACAATGCAACTTTAAAGTCGCCATTGTGAGCTCAACTTTATAAATAAAAGTCTCATTAGGCCGCGATGCCACATCTTCCACATAAATAACAAGCCAGGCTAACGAGGTATCTCTGTTTCTTTCACTCGGCCGCTCTGAGAAAGGGATAGGTGGACTCGGCTTAAAATGTTTGGGACCGAAAATGGGGCGGGAGATTATTTCGTCATAATAGGATTATCCAACTACTCGGCTATATTTTCGCGCATCGACTTTCACTCGGTTAAGGAATTTCCGATAAGCTTATCTGAAACTTAATTTGGGTTAGGTTTCTTTACCTTAAAAAGTTTTTTCTATAAAGAAAAGTAATCCAAATTTATTCAGAGCTTTTTTCTGAAGTACTTTAGGCAAATAATGAGATTTTTATTCGCTTAGCAACGACATTTCGAATAACAAAATTAACCAAAATTTTAAGTAGGTAGCCTTGTAACCTAACTTTGTGGCGGCGGAGTAAGCGAAATATATTTTACTTGTTTTGATGTTTGCGGCTTAATTACTCATTATATTCCATCTGAAAGTTCTATTCGTATTTGAATTGGAATATTATACTTCCTACTAGTGATTACATCAAATATACCTACGAGTATTCTAAAAACGTGTCATTGTAGATCAAAAATGTGGGTCAAATGTCACATTGTATTTTAAAATTGTGGTAGATGCAGACCAAAGTATTTACATTGAAATTACATCGTACAATGGATGACAAAGCTTTGAAACTGCTAACTTTGGAGTGGTGTACAGACAACGGTACATCGAGCACACTGAGGCGAATTACGTCATTGTAATAGATGCTATTTTGCTACAAAAATGTAGCCTGATTTGCTGACGACTGTACAACAAACACGCCATTAGGGATACCCGCCAGAGGTTCTCAACATTGAAATCTTGTATGATTTCCTTAATAATGTGAAGATATTAGTAATGACTACGGATACTTAAGAAAGCAAATTTATTACCGCTACATACACTTGACTGAATTAATTTATACGAGACTTTGAAAATATTTGTGCCCATTTATAACAGAACAAATAAAAGTGACACCATTATTATTAACGCAATGTGTAAGAAAACAGTGTAAACAGAACTATTTGACTTATCTATACTAATCTTATAAATGCGAAAGTAACTCTGTCTGTCTGTCTTGCTTTCACGTCTAAACCACTGAACCGATTTTGATGTTTGCATAGAGATAGTTTGAGTCCAGGTAAAGGACATAGGATAGTTTTTGTCCCGGTTTTTGAAACAGGGACGCGGGCGATAAAGTTTTTCTGTGACACAAAATTCAATTCAAGAAATCTAGTTTTACATAAATAGCCTGCCATTGTAGGCAGATATGCCATGTGTTTTAATTTTCGCAGTGACTTTGGACTTCAATTTATTTGACTTATCGAGTTCGAATAAGTAGCGTCATTCCCACAACAGCTTGAGAACCAGCGTCAGGTTTTCTATTAGCCTCCTGTAATGCTCCGTTAATGAACCAATGCTGTTATTACCCGTCGCCTTTGATATTAGTTTTAATTAGCTACGGTAAACATAATACGGATAGATTAATATGAAAAAAAAAACCTTTCATCCTTATACTAAAGGGTGATTTCCTATTTTTCGCAAAAAGTACCTACTGTAAGGCTGGATTGCACGAACGTCTAAAATCTGTCAAGCTCTATACAATAAACACCGGTTATCGTTATAGTTACGGTCAAAGTTAGGTGGTGTAACTTAGCCTAAGGGTTTCAAAGAAACTTAAACATGCTAGTATTATAAAGCTAAGACCTCCGCTACATCTGTCTATCTATTCGCGATAAGCATACCTACTACTGAACAGATTTTCATGCGGTTTTTCTAATAGAAAAACATAGATAACATAAGATGAAAGTCAAATCGTTCGTTCGTTCGTTTCAGCCGAAAGACGTCCGGGTCATTCCATCGTTTCGGGTGTTACGTTCGTACACACATATTCAACAATTTCATGTATTTTGAAATAGTATTTTAATAATGTTAGTGCCTTAATCTGTCCGTTTTTAGTTGTTTTATCTTAATAATAAAGTTTGTACAGCTTAGAATGTAGGATAACGAAAATATGAGTCGAAAAGTGTGCGTTTCGGGCGTTACGAGATTTTGCCTCTATGTTCTGACTGTTGCTGCATTTACTCGAAATTTAGCGAATTTTCTTAAGGAATCATACCTAAAACTTACAGGACTTCTAAAGTATGACATTTACAAACCATGTAACATACAATCACTGTTAAATAAAACGTTTTACTATTTTTTTATAAATTTTTTCTTTGTTTCGGGTGTTACAATGGTTCTGTTTCGGGTGTTACGAGTACGAAAATTCAACTCGTTTTATCGATAAAATCGGTGTTTTATTAGTCTCTAGGTACTACAAAATAAGGAGTACAACAAATAAACACAAATAGAGCGAATTCTGGTTTGAAATTACGAAGCAGCTTTTTTTAAAAAATATACAAAGTTCAAGTTTAATTTTTCCTCAGAATATAGCTTTTTCTATTGTTTTTGGCTTGAAATAGCATTACTTTAATTTCTAATTACGATATTTATTGGAAATGTCAAACATCGACACTTTTTAGCAATACCTTAATTTTAGTGTTAAGTCGACATTTCAAAAAAGTCTTAAATTGAGAAATATGACTCCTTTTCCGATGCCAGCGCTAGTGGGAGGTCAAAGGACCCTCACAGTAATACTTTTTCACTTCTCCAAGCAATATACACACATTATCGACATATAAATAAAAATGTAATACCCGAAACGTTTCGGGTGTTACAGTTTTTAATCAAGAAAGAAACATACTAAATTAGTATCATGCTCAGATATTAGTTAGTATTTGAAATCATTACTACCATGACCTTACTTTTACCAAATATTGTTACCCTAATCCATGTGTAAGGTACAATAATAAAACAAATACCTGTTTTTCTGTTTCGGGTGTTACATCGCCGAAGTAACAAGAAAACACACTTAAAACTTGATGATTATCCATTTTTTTGGGACTATGACGCTATCTACCAATACTATGATAAATACCCTCGAATCATGTAGTGGCAAAACGTTTCACAGATTGATAGGTTTTTTTAAATCGTATTAACAATAATTAGAGAGAAAATGATCATTCAGACAGTTGACTTAAGTATAGACTTTGAAGACTAATAACTTAAAAATTACTTGTTTCTTTCAGATTTTTTTTGTTGCACATTATAATTTGGAATGTTTACTTTCAAAATTCATCAGATTTAATGCGAAAAGAACATATTTAGTTTTTCACCCTCGGTAACATTTGTCATGGAATGACCCGTCCACTGCTGGACAAAGGCCTCCCCCAAGGATTTCCACAAAGACCGGTCCTGCGCCGCTTGCATCCAGGTACTTCCCGCGAAAGTCAAATAGAATAATTTAAGTAATAGTTTAAGATTTACCTTTAAAATTATTTCTGAAAATGTCATTAAGCTTAAAATTTTGTTCAGCTGTTTCAGCAAAATAAACCCATAATAAATATTCAAAATTTACGTTTCAGAACGACAATCGCAGAAAGTTTTGATTGAATTCGAGTAATAAATTTAATGCCGAAAATTACATTTAGTTACGAGATTTGTTTGTGAGGAATTAATTTAGCGACGGACAAACATTGACAAGTTTAAAGCCTGCAGAAAACTATATAGTTTAGTTAGTCAATGCTGGTAAATGTTCTGAGAAATTGCAGACAGTTTGATAATTTGTTTGTTTTTATTGTACAGTCGTCAGCATAAGACACTAATATTAATTTGTTCTAGCAAAAGCACACCTATTTAAGTTCGGCCAAACCAACGCATGCATCCTAATGATTTCTACTAATCGCCATCGCCATCGAACACGCAGGCTGCAGGCGTTGGTTTGGCCGAACCTTTACGTACAACTAAATAAAATTTAATGTCCTATAGTATCTTATTTGATGTACAAAGTGTTTTCCTTTACATAATTTTCAATAGATGTTATCTTTTCAATAAAGACAGAACTTTAGGTCGAAGCTATTAGGTAAATGCTTTTATGTAGATAGGACATAAATGGTTAAAGTTTTTAATTGGAGATTTCATTGTGATAATGCACGCTATTTCTTATTACTGTAGCTTTACGATGACTATAAGTAAACGTCCTTAATCACTAGGGGGTACGTCAAAATCTAATGACGATTTTAGTTATTGAAAGTAACTGCTAGGGGCGCTATAAAATGTGTCATACATTTAGTGTCACTTTTTACCCAGACGCTAGCGATTAAAATTAATAACTCATGTTAAGCATACTGGTTTTGATGGTACCGACCGGATTACTAGAAAAAATGTTAAATAATGTTTATCCATCCGAGATCAGAGATTCGATGGCTCAGTGTAAAATGTCCTATAACTTATTAGTATTCAAAAATTTTTTTTTGTCACAGATAAACATGCAAGTGAGATTCGATGGATTGTAAATTGTACTTTATTTATTTGTATTCAAAAACCATCTTCTTTGTCACAGATAAACATGCAAGTGTCCTGGGTGAGGCACCGGGACATCCACCTGCTGACGGTGGGCCGGTACACCTACACGAGTGACCAGCGCTTCAGAGCGATACACCTGCCCCACTCGGAGGACTGGACTTTACAGGTAAGGGAAGACACTAGTTCGTTCGTTAGTTTCAGCCGAAAGACGTCCACTGCTGGACAAAGGCTTCCCCCAAGGATTTCCACAAAGACCGGTCCTGCGTCGCTCGCATCCAGGCACCTCCCGCGACCTTCACCAGATCGTCGGTCCACCTAATGGGAGGCCTGCCCACGCTACGTCTTCCGGTTCGTGGTCGCCACTCAAGAACTTTCCTGCCCCAGCGGCCATCAGCTCTACGAGCTATGTGCCCCGCCCACTGCCATTAAGTAGAGGACACTAGTACTCAAGGCTATTCCCACCTCTCGTTCCCACCGCTGCAACTCCTGTGTAGCCAGGATCTACAGATTGACTGATATTAAAAACCCAATTAGTGGAAGTCAAGTTTATCCCGAGGAAGGTTAAACTGTCATTGGACCTGAAATTAATTAGAAAAAGATAGGAGAAGTTCGTAGTCAAGTTTTGACTTCCCTCCAGTGCAAAGCGGATGACAGGTGACAAAACAAGGGAGAGGTTTAGATTGTCTATCTTACGGGCTTTTTCTTATATTGTAGGTTTAATGATGAACCTTCTGCCGTTGTTTACATAGGCCTTTATCACTCGCTTCATAGGTATGTAAGAAAAGCCACACACCATTTATATCACATTGTAGTTTACGATGCGATTAACAAAAGGAATGTCTGTCGCACAACACGTACATTCTAGCAATCTATTTCACACGTGACGACTATTTTTACTGAATTTTAATTTCAAATAGCAAGCAAGTTTGCACTTTATTTTGTTGGATGACCTTATACAGTGATGATTTTATTGCAAGTACTTTAGGTCTAATCTAATCATAATGATTGATGTTGCAAGAATCAAAAAGAGAGAGCTAAAAAGCTTATAAAAGGAAAGCAAATACCCATAACAAACTAATATAAACTTTAAAAGCTTTTAGCTAGTACGAGTACCTAGCGCTTTAATTACATTTGACGTTAATATTGAAAGTTCGAACGTAGAATACTAAACTAACATTGAGTACTAAACGCTGTCTGTAACATTTAAATAGCTTGAAATGATTCATGAAATTAATGAAAGCATTCAAATATATTTAATTAGGCATATCACAGTGTTCGTATACTGGAAAATATCTGAGTAGATTTAGTCTTAGTCTATTTAGTCTCTCTGGAAATTGGAACTATAAAAGCGCGTAGAATAAGGCCTCATATAACTAAGTACATTTCACAATAAAAATAGTACGCAAGAAATACTACAAGTAGTACTCCAACCCCTTTTCAACCGACTTCAAAAAAGGAGGAGGTTCTCAATTCGACCCGTATGTTTTTTTTTTTTTTTTCTATGTTTGTTACGCGATAACTCCGCCAATTATGAACCGATTTGAACAAATCTTTTTTCGGCGTATAGGTAATATCTCAAGGGTGGTCCCATTTAAATTTAATAATAGAAAAAACAACCCCCAAGGGTGGAAAATTGGGGATGAACTTTTCAACCGACTTCAAAAAAAAGGAGGAGGTTCTCAATTCGACCCGTATGTTTTTTTTTTTTTTTTTCTATGTTTGTTACGCGATAACTCCGCCAATTATGAACCGATTTGAACAAATCTTTTTTCGGCGTATAGGTAATACCTCAAGGGTGGTCCCATTTAAATTTAATAATAGAAAAAACAACCCCCAAGGGTGGAAAATTGGGGATGAACTTTTTTATACGCAATATCTCCGCCGATTATAAATCAATTTGAACGATTATTTTTTTGTTGAATAGGTATTATCAAAAGGGTGGTTTCATGCGAATTTGAAGAAAATATTTCACCCCCAAGGGTGGAAAATTGGGGATGAACTTTTTTATACGCAATTTTTAGTTTTTTTTGTGTTCACGCATTTGAAGTCGGTTTTATTTTTTTTAAAAGTTAATTATAGCCCAACATTTCGCGGGCATGGATCGACGCAGCTACCTACTTCCTGACGCTGTTTTCTGATCCATCTCTCTCAAAGTGATACTGGTGCGACAGACACAGACAGAAGAAACTCTCTTGGTGTTTGAAAAATATCTGGGAAAGCTTGCCTTGGCAACTGATAACAAAAAGGATTGATTGTACTGCTGAAATGCAACAACTTTCCCCAAGGGGTTAAGTTCCAAAATTAAAAAAAAAATGTATTTCCCTACAAATTGTCATCGGCAGTCATTTCATATGGGAACTTTTTTTTTAGAATTTGATATTGGTCCTGTGGGAAAAGTAGTTGTATTTGAAAAGTCGAATCAACCCTTTTTGTTTGATCAACTACAAAAATAACACAATGTATTAAGCAAGAAGTATCACTGCATCCATTTTCTTTAGGTACCTTTAAACAATGATGTTATCTTTAAGGTCGTAGCAAATAATTCAGTCCTATCTCAGTGCTCCGATGGACTAATTGTTCAAATGAATGTCAATGACATGCTAAATCTGTTATTGTACTCGAAATCACTCGACGAATATTGTCACAAGGTTGGCTGGAGGCCTAATGTAAATTAGTGGTTCAGTCAGATGTTATTGTTTTATTTCAACGTTTGGTATTCGTTCAGTTTTAATTTGAATTTACTTATAGATATAATTTATAAAAAAAACTTTGTTATCGCTCCGCATTTTTTGCCATCAAAATATTCAAACTCTCCTTTTATAGAGCATGTTTAGTGTTCCTAGTAATTTCTGTGCAATCATCAGTCTATTATAAAAGGAGACTAACAATGGCAATTTGCATTCTAATGGGTTATTAAACGTAGGTATCAAATTTTATTCTGTAATATTAAAAAGAGTATTTATCTAATAAATCACAAGCCTCGTCTGCCAGTCTGTTTAAAGAATCAACCCATTACCGAAAAATGTTAGAGCAATTCATAATACCCTTGAACTGTGAATTACGTCGAATAGTACCTAGAGAGTGCTTCAGAATTTGATAAACATATTTTTTCTCGCGTCAGCCAGACTGGAAAATTGCCCTTCGCATTAGATTTAATCTTGTCGAGTACGTACCGGCTCTTCGATGAGTACCTTTGTTTCAATCGTGACACCTACACAAGTGGCCAAAAAGTTCGCAACACATCTTTGTTACAATTGGAATAAGGTCGTGTCTTTTTGGCCAGCGGGCACATCTCGGACACTCACGACAATCATCATCATCATCATCATTTCAGCCATAGGCCTCCCCCATTGCTTTCCATGTTGATCGATTGATAGCAGCCTGCGTCCAGCGCTTTCCTGCTACCTTTATGATGTCGTCGATCAACCTTGTGGGTGGACGTCCCACGCTGCGTTTTCCGGTACGCGGCCTCCATTCCAGAACCTTGCTGCCCCATCGGCCATCAGTTCTGCGTACTATGTGCCCTGCCCATTGCCACTACAGCTTGCTAATCCGTCGGGCTATGTCAGCGGCTTTAGTTCGTTTACGGATCTCCTCATTTCTGATTCGAACTCACGACAATATGTATGTGCAAACAAACGTGTTCTAAGCACACAGTCGTAGGCTCGTGCAGGTGAACGCGTACCATGCTTGTATGAGCGAGATATGACATGCTAGGCTTAGCGTTGCACGGTTTAGGCGCATGTCAAAAGCTCAAAATGTCAAATACATAAAAATCTTATTAATTTATGATATTTCTATCCTGTTTAACCTTTGCTAATCACGTCTAAAGGGAACGCGGCGGAATATCACACGACATACGTACATTGTATCTTAACGTAAGATAAATTTAGATCACATACCACTCGGTAACTTTGAGGTAGGTATCTGACAGCGGGTGATGGCGTATTCAGTGGGAGGCAGGAGTGTCCGATGTCCATTCTGTAGTAGCAGAGTAAATACAAATGAGTAGGGCATCTTCATGGAAACGCACCGAGCGTGGTTTGTATGTGAGCGCGCCAATACGTATGCGGCGGACACGCACACACTGACAAAATTCGTCGCAACACCCCGCTAATCCACGCTAAATTTTGTCAGTGAAGATGACCTACTCATTTGTATTTACTCTGGTAGTAGTCTCATTATTATACTATTACTATGGTTTGGGTGTCACGAACCATTTGACGCTGATTGTGCCGGATTTTCATTGAGTGCTTTTGTTTCAGATAAAATATCCCCAGCACAGGGACTCGGGGATCTACGAGTGTCAGATCTCCACGACCCCTCATATGAGCCACTTTATACATTTGAATGTTGTTGGTAAGTATACTTTTATTTATATATTGACTAGCGGCCGCCCGCGACTTCGTCCGCGTTGATCCCGTTTTACCCTCTTAGAATAATCCGTTCTTAGTGAGCACCTACGTTCTAAAAGTAACCTCAATGAAAAATTTGAGACTAGCTAGGCACTTGTAGTTTCTGAGATATCGTGATGAGTGAGTCAGTCAATCAGTGACCTTTCGCTTTTATAAATATATATAATTCCTATTTAAAACCCTAAACTAATTCACGCCACTCAAAATCCAGATGAAATTTTCAACTTCAAATATTTTAAAACCTCTCCATACAAATTTCAACCCAGCGCTTACAGTATGAATGAAGTGGGTAGACAAACAAAACATCACAATCCACTTTCAGACCAGTTCGAGCCGGTTTATTTTGGTACTTGACGTTTAAACTTTCATTAAACGTTTAGTATCACTTTCAGATTCCGTCATACTGAATGAGTTGGGACGCTTTATATAATACTTTAGTGTTTGGTTGTTCTAAAAATACAGTTCTCAATTAATTAAACTCAGTAAATGTTAGCTTAGTAGACGAATTACAAAACATTCTACAATATAAATTAACTAATTTCTCTATGTCTCCTATACCGATAAATGCCTACTCGCAACTCGTAAGTTTTGACATACGAATATACTCTGTTTCAATTAAGTATCAGAAAATAAGAATTATTTATTCATATTCTACTGATCTCAATTTTACTTCACTTTGAAGGTATACCTTAACCTCTTTGTTGTTAGTTTGCTTGTAGTTAGAGATGTTTTTATCAAGAAGATCAATAAATTAGTATTGCAGGCAATTGAATAAGCTTTTTCTTCAGTTATTCCTTCAATCACGGGTTTGGGCGCACTGATTTGGCTCTACGGTAATTACAAAGAATCGAGTTCTAGCAACCAAACACCTCTACATTTAACATTTCACAAATGCTGGCTGTCAACAATTCCATGTACAGACGACGGCAGTATACCTTAACTAGTCAAAATATGTTCTATTTTGCGACATAATGTACTGATGCTGTACTTTAGTAAACACAGAGTTCAACGTATCATCTAGAGTTTAAACAAGCAGCAGTACTTCTCTAAAGTCTAAATGTTACGTTTTTGTTTCCACCGCGCTCATAACCCGCGTGCGTGCTTCTAATGCCGCACTTAATGAGTCGACTTGCTCAAACATGACGATCGAAAACATTGCGAGTTAACGAACTTAACGCGAACTAGGGTTGAGACCGCCATGGAATTTTAATGCGGACGAATTTGTGTCGTAACACGTTCAATTTGGGACACCTTTTGGGTTGACGGTGAAGACAATACTGATATTGAATGTGTCTATGAATAAAGGCAAAAAGACAATGATGAGATTTGATAGACTGCAATTGAATGTGGCTTTGTCCATTACTTTGTGAATAGCGGGTTAGCTTTAAGTTAAATAAAAATACAACTGTTTAAAAAAAAATATAGACTTGCGGAGCAGATGTGTATCCAAAAGATTCTAGTCTTAATACTCGTATAAACTAAATAATGTTGTGATTGTCTATAACAGGCATTTTTTCTGAACTTATTTGATAGAAACAAAATACGTATTTTGGTCACGTTCCAAATAAAAAAGCTTAGATAGAACTAAAACTCCATTGAATCGATGTAGGAATATTTTTATGGAAATATTGGAATTGAATCATACAAAACTTCAATGTCAACCTCAAAACGAAAGTTGATATCTGTCTATTCCACTCTTACTGAGAGCCAAAGCGCAAGATGCGATGCGGCGGCGGTTCGACGCCGGAGCGGTGTCGCTGCGTCGTCTTAAAGTTCAGCCAAACCAACGCAACGCGTGCAGCCTTCTTAAGTGATCCTGCGTAAGCGATGGCGATGGCGATGGCGATCCTATTAATTTCAAGCTGCACGCGTTGGTTGGACCGAACCCCTACATATAGGTAAATATCTGTGGCGAGCACACGAGCAATGCGGCGCCGCGTCGCGCGATACGTCCAAATATTTGCGGTGCGGTGCTCCAAATCGTGTGCTTTGGCTCTTAGGTATTTAATCAAGGGGCGTACTCGATATCGACTGCGTAAAAAAGTGACATTAAATGTAGGACGGATTATACAGCGGCCCCAGCGGAAACTTTCAAGAATTAAAATCTTCACATATTTTTAAGTGTGAAAACTCGCACTACGCCCCCAGATATCTTACGGTCATAGTTTAAAACCTATCATACCCCAGAATACATTTTCATTTTAAAAGAAGTTATTATTTTCAGAAACTAAATTAATTTATTTGTTGCAGAACCGACAACAGAAATTATTGGTGGGCCGGATCTCTACATAGACCGGGGCAGCACCATCAACTTGACATGCGTGGTTCTGTACTCACCAGAACCGCCAGCGTATATTTTTTGGAATCACAACGATGCGGTAAGAAAACTGATCTTCATCATCATCATCATTTCAGCCATAGGACGTCTACTGCTGAACATAGGCCTCTCCCAATGATTTCTATGTTGATCGGTTGGTAGTATCCTGCATTCAGTGCCTTCTTGATACCGTTATGGTGTCGTCGGTCCACCTTTTGGCTGGACGTCTCACGCGTCCCAAGAAAATTGATCTTATTAGGATGAACTAAGACCCTATTAATTACTATTGGCTTTTGATGATTTTTCCACTGGAAAGAGTGACAGGCTACCTTTTAGGGCGGAAGAAACCGCAGGAAGTAGCTAGTTTTGACTCTAGTGATTTGAAATACTCCACTTGGGTATAAATTGAATATAAATTACAAATATAATCGTACGTAAAACAAAATGAATAACAGTAAAACTCGTTACTGTAACAAGAACTTTAAATGAAATTCAAACCAACTAATTACAATTCGATGAGAAAGTTGTGGCCGAAACTGTAATTAATGAAACACCTGAATAAGTTATCGGTGTAATTATTGAATATTCTGCCTTTAATTAAACAACTCGAAGTAATTATGTCATCAAATTCACATTAAACTTTGTTCAACTTAAAATAATTTACCTTAGCAATTTTAGCCTAAATACGTAATGAAAACAAAAACTTACTATTAATTTGTCAATAATGAATAGTAAAACGTTTTTGAGTTTTTGATGAAATACAGTACAAATACCAGAGTGAAAATAAATTAAAGCATTGTTACTGAACAACAATATCAATAACACACATGAATTCATCTGGTTGATCAATCATTTGTTACAAAATATGACTGTAATGTTGACTTTTTGTTTTAAGTAGGAAGTATTTCCATGTGGCAGCAAAATAAACGTGTTTCTATTCTATTATATTCTATCATGGGTATTATCCCTATGTTTAGAGTTTTTGTAAAGATGTTATCACTTCCAAATGCCGAATTAAATAAAGTGTAACCAGTAGTTGTGTTAGCTAATTCTAGAGTAACTGAGTCTAATCCTTTCCCCCCAGATAATAAGCTACGATTCCCCCCGAGGGGGAGTGTCGGTGGTGACAGAGAAGGGGGAGACGACCACCTCGTTCCTGCTCATCCAGCAGGCCAGGCCTTCGGACTCGGGGACGTACCAGTGCAACCCCAGCAACGCCCAGTCCAAGAGCGTGGTGGTTCATGTTTTAAATGGTGAGTATCTACTGTCTAATTTACAAGGTAGTGTGAGTTTATGTCAAACGCATTCGATATTGACTGCTTTAAAAAATACTAGCGGCCGCCCGCGTCTTCGTACGCGTGGATCTCGTTTTACCCCCCCTTCATCTATCTTACGCGGTTCAGATTTTTTCATACAATTTTTTTTCCCGCTACCTCCCGTTCCCGTGGGAATTTTGCAATATCCTGTTGTAACTAAGCTTTAAGTTTACTAAGGTACCTGCATGCCAAATTTCAAGCGTCTATCTTACGCGGTTTAGATTTTTTTATACAAATGTTTTTTCACGCTAACTCCCGTTCCCGTGGGAATTTTGCAATATCCTGTTGTAGTTAAGCTTTAAGTTTACTAAGGTACCTGCATGCCAAATTTCAAGCGTCTAGCTTAAGCGGTTTAAATTTTTCATACAAAAGGATTTTCCCGCCAATTCCCGTTCCCGTGGGAATTCCTAAGTATCCTATAACCTGCCCAGGAGTATGAAGAATAATTGTACCAAGTTTCGTTAAAATCCGTCGAGTAGTTTTTGTTTCTATAAGGAACATACAGACAGACAGACAGACAGACAGACAGACAGACAGACAGACAGACAGACAGACAAAAATTTTACTGATTGCATTTTTGGCATCAGTATCGATCACTTATCACCCCCTGATAGTTATTTTGAAAATACATTTCATGTACAGAATTGACCTCTCTACAGATTTATTATAAGTATATAGATTTCATGTACAGAATTGACCTCTCTACAGATTTATTATAAGTATATAGATAAGTATATAAAGATTTTCACACACGCACAACGTAAATTAAAAGAAGTGGTGATTTTTTCTATTGTTATGATAAAAAGTTTTACTTACTTTACGTTATTTTGTTAAGAAAGAGTGACTCCTTCTAGCACAGGTGCCATTGCACTTACAAGAAAGAGTCCACCTTAAATTATTTTCATTATTGTCATTCATTCATCATCAATCATTTTACATTTAGTTCTTGAAAGTTTCCGCTAGGAGCGCTGTACAATCCATCATACATTTAATATTACTTTTTTACGCAGTCGATATCGAATGCGTTTGACGTAAACTCACACTATGCCTCCAGAGCTGTTTTTGGAGGCAGCCAAAGTTAATCATTTGTTTTGTTTTTCTTGTTTTTGTTTTGTTTTAAATAAGAGGGTAAGATTGAGCTGACATGTTTCATGTAGGCTCTTAAATTATTAATCTTTTAAAGAAATTGAGAAAACATCGTATGCGTCAAATAGGTAAATATAATTGCAGTAGGTACAAAAATTATGTCTGATACAATATTGGGAAAATTAAGAAGGAAGTAGATACAAAAAATAATATTGAGGATAATAATAACTCATAAAAAATCTTTGTGAAAAAAAAGATAAAAAAATAACGAAATTAATTAATTTGTTGACACCACTAAAGGCACAACATTTCCGGGAATCACTTCATTTCGCCGTGAAAATTATTTTTTGGAAATTTATAAATAGTTAACGAAGTCTGTAAATATTATAAAAAAAAATAAAACCGACTCCAAAAAACCTACNAAAAAAAAAAAAAAAAAAAAAAAAAAACATACGGGTCGAATTGAGAACCTCCTCCTTTTTTTGAAGTCGGTTGAAAAGCGCCTTTTAAGAATCGGGCCGTAAATTCAAAATCTCATTAAAATTATGAATTCGATTAAAAAGGGATTCAAGAAAAGCAGTAATACTGCGAAAAAAATATAAACATGTTCGGTCTGCAATTTTTCCGTCTACATTAAAAGGAAGATTAAAACGACATCACATAATTATGTTTTTCGAGAAAACCAAAATAAATTTAAGCACTCTCGTGCAATTTCAGTTGGAAGCCAAGAAGATTAAAATGAAACACTGTCAGATACCTTTTTCCTGGCAATCAGGATGAGTCTGAATATAATACCAGAGTAATAAAAAATATTTTCTTAAATTTCTTTTTTTTATTTGGGATTTTTAACGATAATTAAGAGCTAAAGCACACGATGCTTTGCGGCCCCTCACCGCAAAGAAAGTCGCACCGCAGATATTTCTATGTAAGACGACGCATTATCGCCACCGCAACGCATCGTATGCTTTGGCTCTAATCTAAAAACAAAAAAAAATATTTTTCCTCTCCTTTTTTATTTAAGATTTTTAACGGTAATTAACGGGAAGAATAAATGGCAATGCCAGATTTTGTATGGAAGGTGGCGTCTTTTTTTTTTTCGCGCGGCCATCGACCAAACTTTGTTTTTTGATTACAAAATAGTGTAATAAACCAAACTTACTACGGCATGTATACCTCTAAACTCAGTCTGAACTGAGTTACGAACATTAGAAGTTTGATGATTTTCATACCAGATTTGCTCAAGTTTTGTAAGAAATTGCAACAAAATATTGCGCTAATTTTTTATTGCGCTGATTCTGCTCCATACTGATGTCTGGAGCCTTTAATGGATGGTATTGTTTGTTTACACATACAATGTCACTATTTTGTTGCAATTTCTTACAAAACTTGTGCGCAAAAAGCAAATCTATTATGAAAATCATCAAACTTCTAATGCTCGTAACTCAGTTCAGACTGAGTTTAGAGGTATACATGTCATAGTAAGTTTGGTTTATTACACTATTTTGTAATCAAAAAATAAGGTTTGGTCGATGGCCGCGCGAAAAAAAAAAGACGCCAATTTCCGGCATTGTCTTTTAAAGCCTTAAAGACGTTCACAATATCCGAGCAAATCTGCAATTTCTAAATCACTTGACGGCGTTATTCGTTAAAGGCTTCCCAATCTGGTTGATAAACGACCTCCGTGAGATAGCGGAAGGAAAATATATTTTTAAAAATCTCAGGGAATAAAAATTCAGGATAAAGGCCATTATCATTAAAACAACGATAGCAATAAATCACGGAAATGAAACGTTCACTGTAAATGGTCGCGTTAATATTTTTTATTAGCCACGGCAATATAATTAGCTGCGAATGTCGCAAAGGGATCGTTAAATACGTTGATGACGCATTTGTTTTCCCTATTTTTTAAACATAATTGCGATAGTCAACTATTTTTCTTTCTCGCTGTTTCTCGAGTTTATATGAATTTACGACATTATAAAAGGAAAAAGTTTTAATTTTTTTTGTTTTATTATTTGTTTCTTGATTTTCCTTGATGTTATACAAGCTTCCTTATTGTGTAACTCAGAATCACAATCGCTTATTGTTACATAAGTATTTCACTGCAAGTAAATAATACTCATGCTGAGTAAATGCCAACAAAGTGACGATTGTCCACATCTAGATATTTCTGCGGATTGCTTAAAAGCTATGATATTGTATTTTGAGTTAAACAATTAAACCCCTGCTTCTCTTTTGATATGACATGACAAAATCTTTCAAAATTTTCAACTCTATCACTTTGGATGTAAGAGTTTGTAGTGATATTGTCGAGAGCAGTTTTAATTTTTTGCCAAAGAAGCAAACTCGATTTTTCCTTTGTCAGGTGAATACCCCGCCGCCATGCAGAGGGGGGGACAAGCGTTCGCGCCAACGTCGCCCGCGCACTGCCTGGTTCTCGTCGCCTGCCTGTTCCTCACGCTATCTTGACAAATACCAACCTTAAGATAAACACTGTAAATACCAGATTTTATTAACAGCTATTCACAATGACGCTTGTACCACACACACTTCTTCACGACACCTTTCCAACACAAACGTCATTGTAAACAGCTAAGATGCTCGCTATTTTATAGTATGGGTTGTGTTATGTAAAATATAAATTTAAATAAATCCCTGAGCAAGTAGACTACATGCTTGTTTCGTATAGAATTTGTATATAGTGTACTATAAAAACTATGTGTGTTTATTGTATTGTTTCATTGATAATCTAGATTGTCACTTACGTTCTCTAGCTCCAAATTTCAAAGTCCTTTGAAAGATCCCAAAATTTTGTAGTAAATGAAAGATTGGAAATTTCAAACCGAAATTTAATTTTCAAATAAAATTGTGGTTAGATCTTGAAATTCTTTTGCGTGAATATGAAAGATCAGTACTCATAATGTTATGGTAAAAATGTATTAGAAGTCGAAATTGAAAAAGTATTTAAACATTTTGAGAGAAAATAATAAAGATAGTGACACAGGAATGTATAAACAGCTGACAATATTACGATAAAACACAAGTTTAGAAAAAGGACTGTACATAATAACTAAAATAACGATATACGAACATTCTGTCTAGCTTTACTATATCTGTTTAAAGATAAGTGTAAATTGTAAGTAAGCATACCTATAGTTTTAAACTTGTGAACTAAAATAATGTTGTAAATATTATGCATAAAGGACTTGGTTACACAGGTTTTTAGAGAAGCGAAATATAATGGATGGTTTTATATCGTAATGCTAAGTAATTTATTTAAAAATACTGCGAAAACATTAGAGTATTTTTATCTAAAAATTACAAGAATGTATCGTAAGCATATTAACCTGTTAATGAGGTCCTTCCTGTAATTAAATCTTATATACAAAATAGATAAAAATTATATTAATAAGTATTAAATTAGAAATGAGAAATATAAATTTTACAGGTTAGTTAGAAAAGAATTCTGATTTGTAATTACATACAGTTGTTTGTATTTAAACGTTCTTCCCATGTTGCATGATCTATCCAGTTTAAGATTTCTACGATACTATTAATAAAGTTTTGTTTTATTTTGACCCTTTTAAGTTATTTTTATTGCCAAATTATTTTTATAAAGAAAGTCTTACTTTGTCAAAAATGTAAAGTTGTTCCCCGTCCCCTTATATTTAACCTAAAATTGCATTTAAAATGATTGAGATGAAAGTGCTTTCTAGACAGATGCTGTCAAAAAACGAAGATATTAATTTGTTTTGTATTTTAATGTAGATGTATATAAATCGTGCTGTCCATAAACATTCCTCAAAATCAAAACGTTCGATGTAAAAAAACTATGGAATGATGAAACTATGTATTTCACTAACATGTTTCTCTATTAAGATATTAAAGACAGATCTTGATTAATATAACCAGTTATTATTATGTCAAAAGTTTATTATTGTATACAAGTAACAATAGTATTAAAACTTGTTGTATGTATTACGATACCAGGAAAAGCGGGGCGCCGCACGATATAAATTACATGTGTAATAAACATTATAAAGAAACAATAAAGTTTTAAAAAAATAATTGCGTTTCTTTCAAAGATAAATGAATTACAAAACAAAACAGATGTATTACATTAAATATTGCCGGGGTGGGAGTTGGGAATTTTGGATTCATATTCGAAACTTTTTGTTTACATACAAAAATAATACGAGAAATGTTTCGGGGAGTGTGAAAAATGAGGGTAGGAGGTTCGACCCTGGTTGCGCCTTATGAATATCTAATCGGACTGAAAAGAGACGAAAGATGTCTTCCCTAATTTCTGTCGACTTATTTATGTGCTACATCGGCCATGTTTTGAAAAGGAAGCAGAATTGAATCCACGATGGGCTGAGATGCTTTGCTTAGTCGACGATATTACAGTTAAAATTTGTATTTTTCCTTGAAATTTTGCTGATGAAAGCCCCAAAAAAGCTAAATCACCATGTTTACTCAACGAGATCGGGCAGGCTTATTTATTTTGTTTGATGCTCGAATATGATTTTTATGCACGAGTGTTTAGAGATACAGTTCGAATGAATGGTTTATGAGTTCACATTAACGACTGAGATGAGGTCTTTGCACTTTGGGTCTTTTTTGGATATCAAACATAACCAGGTAGTAAGTAGGTTTTAGTAGAACATCCATTTCTACCACAGTTGAGATCTAATAGCTCAAATCAGTACAATAAACCTTAATTACGTGACTACTGCAATAGAATGAAAGCGAATCATATAATGTACTCGCTATGAGAAACCTCGTGTTTGTTACTTTAAAAACATTAAATTAATATGCTTATTAAGTCGCCCTAGTATCTCAAGGCTACAAAAACCAAATAAATACTCAGTTGTTCTCTACATAACAACGTTTATTTAGTAGGTCACGTCCTAATACGAATGGTAACCGAGCTTAACAAACGCGTTAATGTCCAAAGTTTACGTAAGACCGGCCTTACTTAAACTTGTATATTTTATCATTATCGGATCTAATATTTTCGGCACGCACGTATAACGTGAGTACCTAAATTACCCCCCAGCACACGATGTGGGGGGGCGCGAAGCGCGTCCATCAAGAATTAGGGTTGACGAACTACCGTCAGGAAGGTCTGATGTATTTAATTTTTAGGTCTTAATTTCAGGTTGAAAGCTTACAGTTAAGTCTAGATTTTTGTGCTTAATCTAGATGTTCCAGAGAACTCATAAAAACGAGGAGCAAATATTATTAGGTAGGCATTGTCAAATAAAATTAATAATGTACAAATTTAATATTGTCTAGTAAGACTTTGCCAACCCTTAGAAAATGTGTAAACCATTATAGGGAAACTAGTGCGTAATTCGTAGCGCCACTGCTACGGTTTGTATACTACGAACATGCATAAGACGCTACGGTGCTACGGTTTTGTTACGAAGTTGAGCATTGACGTCATTGTAGCTACGATTACATTAGAACAACAGACTCTGAACATTGTGAACATATTATTATAAACCGTTTTTTTTGTTTATCTACACACTTGGATCATTTTAGTATTGACATATTCGACTAGATTTCTACAGTTTGTGCAATCTACGAGGAATTTATGGATGTAAATCAACCCTATAAGAAATAGCACCGAGTAACGTCTGCTCACGCGATCTCCCTCGTAAAACAGGGAAATGCAATGGGAAAAGTTTATTGGAAGATAAATGTATCAGATAAATATGATGGATTTTTAATATTCAGCAAAACATTTCTGAAAACAACAACACTCGTTTGATTGATGTAGGGAGACTTTATGAGATTTGTTTCTGATTTGTAAGAACAAAGCTTCTGTTAATAAGTGTTACACGTGTAAAATGATCATATTGTACACGTGTGTAATGAATAATGATGCACGTGTAAAATAATATTTGTTTTGTCGCACAGTAATATAAATGGGAAAGATTGTGAGTATGTTTGGTACTCTTTCACGCAAAAACAGCAAAATGGATTTTGATGAAACTTGACGGTTAAGTTTGCTTGTACAGTCGCGGAATGAAAAGGTTCGTCACCTTAGTGTCGGTTTTCGCTTGCACTAGGTACTGTAAGAGTCAAACCTGCTAACATAACAGTGCAAGAAACAGTGCTGCTAACATTTAAATAAATATGACGTTTGCTAACGAATAAGGTTTTGCTTGTTTATTTTTCTATCCCATCAGTGCAATGCAATGATGACATTGACCAATTGACAATAGTTTTTTTTATTTAATAGAAATAATAATGGCAGGTTGAACCAACAAGAAGGTTTTAGTTTATCAATCATCATAATCTTCTTGACAAGATAAATCGTCAAACAACTTTGATCTGAATAATTTTGAACTTTACTGACGAACAGTTAAAGATTATTTTCTCTAACTCGAGATAATTCTGTAACATAGTTTCAAAAGGTAATATGTGCTCGCGATTCGTTGAAGGAATCAATTTGAAAACTGACGAACCTTTTCATTCCGTGACTGTACATCAGAATAACATGTAGCCAGCGAAAAGAAAATATTTTTTATTAAGCATTTTAAAAATGGTTCTACAACTGGTTATAAGAGGTAATTACACGACTGTACTGATGAACGAAAGACATGACATGGGCAGGCCCCCCACAAGGTGGACGGATGATGGTGAAGGTCGCCTCAACCTGGATGCAGGCAGCGTAGGACCGGTCGTTAAGGAAATCCTTTGGGAGAGCCTTTGTCCAGCAGTGGATGTCATTTGGCTGAAACAAACGAACGTAACGACTATTCAGACTTCGGTGGCGCCTCTTGTTCCCACCATTGTAATTCTTGTAGGTGATCGCTATAGTAATTAGCCAATACATAGTTATTGGCCAACTTGCCTAAAATGAAAAGAAACAAGCCTAATGGAACTTATTAAGAGAGGAAAAGAGACAAATATTTTTTCTGAGCAATACGCAGTCCAATGTAGTAAATATTTTTGTCTCTTACTTATTAACAATCCAATATGCCAATAACTATGTATAGGCTAATTACTATAGAAATCACCTACAGTTTCACTGCCAATGAAACCTGACAAGTTAAGGTTAAGTAAATAATATAGTTAAACTATAAATAGTTCTCTAATTAATGTTCAGCAAATAAAAGAAACTCAATCTACAAAAGATACCTTTGATAAATCACACGTAATTAATCGTCTATTATCTTGTACCTTTTTCAACATATTTGGCGTGCTTGAATATAGGGGAGAGTTCGGTATATTGTACCGCCGGGTAAATTGTACCACCCTCATATTTCGTAAAGTATTTATTAAATGTCTGTAACTTCAACACTCAGCGATACACAACTAAAATCAATTAATATCGGCCATGTGGTTTTTACCGTGACAACAAACACGTGTGTTTTATTTTGAAAAGTATTTTGTCATTGTTTTCAAGTAACTTTTGACAATACATATTTAGATTGTAATTTTGTTAAATTTAATCACAGGGTGTTTCTAATTTATTATTTAGAAGCGTAAATTAGTGTGGATTACAATTATTTGAAACATTTTTCGGTATTTATAAGCTATATTTTTTACCGATTTTTTAAAAGCACTATCACCTAGTCGGCTAAATTGTACCACATCAAGTTGTATGGAACTTTACCAAAGGATTTTGAAATTTTTTTTAGTAAATCATATTTTGAAGTTATAATAGCGTAGTTATGTTTGACTAACAATAAATGAAAGCAAAAGACTGGCAAAGTAGATTAGGTACAAGTGTGCGTTACGATAATTGGATTTACAAAACTTGTACTCAAAATCGTGATAACGTGTAAAACAATATCGATTGTCTATGTTATTAACTACTGTTCCTCTTCGTTTCCTAATTTGTTAAGAATGTATCGTATAATATTTTGCCATAGTTTTTTTAAAGGCTTGAAATTTATTGAAATCCAATTTAGTAACCCTGTGGTACAAATTATCGAACCGGTTGGCTAAATTGGACCGAAGCTCTGAACTCGTACTTTGTTGATTTGTGCTAAATATACAACAATCATGTTAATTAATACTTATGAAATAGTAAGTTGAATAATGTATCTTTTATTATATACCATGGACATTAGCAAAAACAAAAGAAAACTATGTGTAAAATGGGATTGAAAAAAACTGGTCCAAATTAGCGGACTCTCCCTTAATATTTCCAAGTACTTATCTAAACTAATTGCTCGTATCTTAACAAACTTCAAAAGTAAATATCAATTCTTTATCAGACTTAATATCTCAATATTTCATCTTAGTTTGAAATGAGTTATAATACCTACTCCTACTTTATCCAGCCATCTTTATGTAACTACTAATGTCTTAAAATGAAATTATTTATTAAATTGAATTATTAATAAGTAATATCTTTCTGTAACACACAACAGTAAAAAGTGTAATGTAACTGAGTAAATATACTACAACTTTGTTTTTAGATTTTCGTACCCAAAGAGTACCAATGGGTCTCTATTTGACTGTCTGGGGACTTTAAATATGCTGAACCGTAATAAATAGAGAGCTTAAAAAAAATACTTTAGGTACAGGGTGGAATTTTGTAATGCCACCTGGAGGGAAAGTATTCTTAATATTGTAGATAGAAAAAAAATCTCAAAGAAAACATTCCTTTATTTTTGAAAAGAAATAGAACTGCATTCAAAGATTTCCAAGAACTTTCTTGCCACACCCGGGAATTGAACCTAAAATCTGTTAAAAATTACACCCTGTATTTTTATTGCATCCATCGTTAGGGGTAAGTATAAGGATGAAATCTCGCTAACAAACTTGATAAATCAAATGAAAGGAAAACCATGAAATCTTATATTATTTTAATTGTTTACAGAAAATTTTATGCCATGGTGGTGAATTTCCGTAAAAATTTAGAAAATCTTTAATTTTCTTTTCAAAAATGAAGGAATGTTTTCTTTGAGTAAAATTTGCTATCTACAGTATTAAGAGTACTTTCCCTCCAGGTGG